ATGGTGAGCAATTAAGAAAGTGGGGAATAAAAACGGCCTTCAGGCAAACTATGACACTTTCTTAAGTTATGTACACTTTTAGAGAGGAAATTAACCCATTATCCAGATCGGGTTGCTACAACATAATGTGTTCGTGTGGTCGCTTTTATGTTGGAGAGACTTTTCTTCCCATTTGACAAAGATGGACTGAGTACAAAAGGGCCTGCAAAGGCTGTAGGGTTCAAAAATCGGAGCTTGCTGCACACAGACCAGAAACAGGACACGAGATTGAATGGTCTCAAACTTGTCGTTTTGCTGATTATGGTATGTTTGAGGCTAAACGTTAAATTAGAAAAGCCATAGAAATAAACCGAATAGGAAATACCTTGAATGTTAGGAATACCGGCAAGAAGATAAGTAAAAACTATTTGTGCTTAATTTCATAAACTGAAGGATAGAGAGGGAGTTGAGCCGTCTGCAAAAAGGATGTGACGCAACTAGTCTTTTCTTGTTTTGGTTCTAATGTTAGTTAATTCTCTGTAGTTTTTGATTACTTTTTCTCTCTCGCATTGAGACCAAAAACAAAAAAAGACTCATCAACAAAACCAGACCTGTGTCCGGCCTTGCGCGATCGGAGTGATGGTTATAACTTAAATGTAGAAAGGGGGAGCTAGGGATCACTAAACCTTGATGGACAAAAACAGATGTTCCTTTTTGCAGTCCTAATTACTTTAAGCCATCACTTCGGGTTTCGTGCATAAGCGAACACAAACATGCACATACAAATACAGAGACAGACACATTCACATGCATAGAAGTTGACATATGATCTTAACTAACCAAATCACCTTATACTCGATCAAAGAGGCCAGATGTAGAGTATATATACCACTTTTTAGAAATTTGTCGATGAGTTTTCTTGACTCATTAGCTTGAATTTGTTGTGACGATGTTACCTCGCTCTGATGATGTCCATCATATGATGGACGAAAGCTTAGCACGTTTTCACCGGAATCGAAGGAGATTGCCTCGGAAACAGCGTCAGAAATCTTCTAGTAAAGCCAATCGACAGCTGATCAAGAGGAATTCGCCGTCGTATTCTGGTCGAACCGACCTCCGAAACGCTTTACCCAACACTTCTACTCGAAATGGAAGTAAGTGCTAGAATTAATTAGCAAAATGCTGATCAAAGGCGCCTTATAAGAATTTCTGCCCAAGTATTTCTTAATACGATTTTTCGGAACGGCAAAATTAGTTAATAAAAATAGCCTCCTCTTAAAATTAAAGCGTATTTAATAAAAAAATTAAATTAACTATAACTGATTACAAACAAGGAAAGCATCGAAATAATGTTGAGTGCAGTTTTTCAGATGAATTAAAGCATAATAACTTTGTTTAATTAGTCTAATAACAACTAAATATTTGTAACTACATTATTAAAATTAAAAAATACAAAGGTATAAGATATGAGCATACCATTTACTAGTTCTAAGCTTTGTTTTTTCGTCCTATTTGTAGGCGCAGATTTAATAGACTAAAATGCCTCGGGATCGGTCCCGTAGTCCTAGGCGTAAGTTGTCTCTGTATTTTATTATTAAAGTTTTGTAAAACGAGCCATTCATTTGGGGTGAAAATCTTGCTCCATTTTCCTAATTTAGAAGAATTAAATTATCTATCATATCGTCATGTTCTTGTGCAATCACTGCCAATACTTGCTTTCATTGATTTTATTGATGGATTGCGAAAGACTTAGTTTAGTTATGCATTTTTGGAACTATTACGGCTAAGCTCTAACTATTTTTTTAAAATAATTTTTCAGTCAACGTTGTTTGTACGCAAGTTTCTTATATTATTGTTCTTCTCTTTATTATTGATAACTTGTCTTGCTTAAATATTTTTAGATAGAGATCGAGACCGACGGTCTCGCTCGAGATCCCGTGACAGGCATCGAGAAAGAGATCGGGAGAGAAATTTTGATCGACATCACCGTCGCTCTGACCGCGGTGATCCTAGACAAAGAGGCCATCATCGTCATGACAGAGAGAAAGATTTTGGACGTGATAGGGGTAGGCATCGGGATAGGGACCGTTTTGATGACCATAATGGCAGTGATCCAAGAAAGCGCCTACCAGAGAACGTTGAAAATGGTGCTTCCAGTCATAGTGAGGCTGAGGGCGATGGGCAAGGTACAATACAATTTGTCCGCCATGAACGGAGGAATCGTTATGGACATTCGGACGAAGAACGTGATCCATCTCGTAAGGCTTATTTTAGAATGTAAATTATTTTGGTCGATTAATGTAACTTCTATTTATATTTTAGCTCAGGTGGAGGTCAAAACAGAAGAGGAACTTGAAATGATAAATTCTATGGGTTTTTGCAATTTTGACTCCACCAAGGGCAAGCATGTCGATGGAAACGATCTTTATGTTGCCAACATTGTAAAAAAAAGACGATATCGACAGTACATGAATCGTCAAGGGGGATTCAACAAGCCACTTGATCCTGTTCCTTAAGTCATTATAAAATTGTTTCTCTTATCAGCTTTTTATTGTGCCCAATATTTTTTTACGTTATTAGTTTTCTACCGTTAAAAAGCTGTGTGCTTTCTTATTTGGATTTCATTCTTCGTATTGATGTGCTTTTTCATACTACGTCAATTTTTGTATAATTGATTGTGTATGTTTATTTTGCCTGGCTAACAACCTTATGTATAGTCAATGGCCTGCACCACCCTTTTCTAATTTTTTTTGTTTGGTTATAGATACTTGGATGATAAGTGCGAAAAATTTTGAAGGATACTGAGGTGTCGAAA